GGCCGTCCCCAGCCCCCACGCGCTCCACCAGGGCCCCGCGGCCTCGGTCGGCCCGCCCCGGGCTGTGGCTCAGTTTCTCCCGGGGACCCCCAAGAGCCGGGCCCGCCCTTCGCCCGCCTCCGCCCGCGCCCTCGCCCGCGCTCCGGCCTCGGATCCCCGCGCGGCGGAATCTACCCAGGTGAGGTCCCCCCCCCCCCCGGAGCCGTCCGCACCGTGCCGGGTGGGCGCTGGGCCCCGGGCCGACCCCCCTGTCCGCTAGCTCGGCTGCTGTGCGGGGCCCGCGCGGCAGTGACTGAGGGTGCCGGGTGCTGGATGCTGGGTGCCGGGTACTGGGTGCTGGGTATTGGGTGCTGGGTGTGTCCGTGTGCGCCCGGCGCCAGGCCAGGAGTCTGTCTCTGTGCGCGTGTCCCTCTGTCCGTCTCTGTGGCTGTACTGACCGCGGCCCAGGCCCCGTGTCCGGCCGTGGTAGGGCTGGCGCTGAGCTGTGGGGCGCCCGGGAGGGGCCCCTCGGTGTCACACACAGGACGAGGTTCCCCGAAACGGGGCGCGTGGTGAGGGGCCCCCATGCGTGTGTGCACGCCGGTGCGTGTGCCTGCGTGTGCGTGCGGAGCACTGCCTGCATGTGTGTGCACATATGTGTGCACGTGTGTGCGCATGTGTGCACCCTGCTCCCTCCACTGCCGGCGCTGGGGGGAGCCGGGCGGCCCGGGGCGCGGGGCCAGGCGGGGGGCGGGGTGTGCCTGGAGATGGACGGGCTGGGAGGTGACGCTGGGGGAGGGGTGCCCAGACATTGAAATCCACGGTGTCGCACTGGGCCCCGGGGCCGCGTGGACGAAGCCCCCCCCCAGCCCGGTCCCGCCCTCGGGCAGAAGCCGGGAGCCGGAACCAGGGAAATTCTCATGGAAGTCCCGGGAAATTCGTCTCTTGGAATATCCTGGACGCTGGCAGCCTGGGGCCCGCGGCAGGAGGGCTCGTAAGGAATATTCCAGAAGCCCGGACCCCCAAAGTCCCAGGGTGCCATGCGGCGGAAGACCACCGCGCTGTGGCCTGGGGCTGCCACGCACCTGCACCCAGTAGGGGGGCCTGGCGCCGGTTTGCGGCCTCCCCTAGGCCCAGGGCTCTGGGGCCGGGATTAGTTCCCAGTGGGGGAGGTGTGAGGGGTCCCTGGTGTGCGTCCCTGCCTGGGGCCGGGGGACGAGGGGCACTGGCTGTCCCTCCAGGCGGGGCCGGGATGCAGTGGCCCGCGGGCCGGGCTGGAGGGCGGGAGGGAGGGAGCGGCCCGTCCCAGGGGGAATCCAAGTCTAGGGCGGGGGCGGTGCGGACGCGACGCCCTGGGGGCGGGGCCAGGCTGGCGCGCTCTGGGGCGCCTGCTGCCCGGCCTCAGTGTCCCCGCCGAGGCCCACCCTCGTCGGGGGTGTAGACGCTCAGCCCGGCTGTCACTTGGGGTGAGCGGTGGGCTGGGCGAGGGGGCGGGCGCGTGGTCTCGGGCCGGGGGCGGGGCGCTGCCCCAGGCTCCTCCTCCCGCTAACACACAGGCCCCGGCTGTCACTTGGGGTGAGCGTGGGCGGGGCGAGGGGGCAGGCAGGGCCTCAGGCTCCTCCTCCCGCTAACACACAGGCCCTCCTGTCAATTGGGGTGAGTGGCAGGTGGGACGGGGGCGGGGCTAGCCCCAGGCTCTTCCTCCCGCTAACAGCCCCCCAGCTGGGCTGGGGGAGACCCCTGGCTCCTGGCGGCCCAGCCCTGGCTGTCCCGGGCCCCAGTGCCCGGAGCAGCCCTGGGAGGGCGGAAGCGGGGGCCGGGTCTCCCCGTGGGCGGCAGCGGCTCTCACTGTAGCCTGCAGGTTGCTGGGTGGGAAGCGGAGGCCCCGGGGCTCGAACTCAGGCCTGGATGGGGTCGGAGCCGCCTGCCCGGCCGCCCCTGCAGTTCTCCCTCTGGGCCGTGGCCGGTTCCTCCCGGCTCCTGCTCGGCCCCCAGCGCCCCCAGGCTGCCCATGAGTCCCTGGGGAACCCCCGCTGGAGGAGCCGGGCTGGGCGCTGCCGACGCGGATTCCCGTGAGGCTGACCCGGGGGCCGGGCAGGGGCCAGCACGTGTCCTGGGGGTCGGGACGGCCGCCTGTGGTCACCAGGGTCCAGTCCAGATTCTGCCTGTGCCAGGGGCCCCAGGGGTGACCGCACGGGAGGCTGAGGTCATGGTGCCGGAGTGGCTTGCGGGAGGGGTGGGGGTCACTCGATGACGCGTGAGGGTCAGTGGGGTTGGAGGCGCCACAGTGGCCACCATCACAGGTGCTAGGGTCAGGGAAGCAGGGCGGGGCACCCGCGCTGGGTCTCTGACGGCTGTGTAGGAGTTCACCAGTACTGACGACTCGGTCTCCCCCCTCTCTCTCTCTCTCTCTCTGCCCCTCAGGTGCGCCTCGGCCCATGGGGCACTGACGCCCGCCCCGCCCCCACCGCGCCATGTGGGCCAACGCCAGCGCCCCGGGGCCCTGCTTCCGGCCCACAAACATCACGGCCGACGAGCGCCGCGCCATCGCCTCGCCCTGGTTCGCCGCCTCCTTCTGCGCCGTGGGCCTGGCCTCCAACCTGCTGGCGCTGTGCGTGCTGGCGCGCGCGCGCGGCGGCCCCGCGCCCCCCGCGCGCTCCTCCTTCCACGCCTTCCTCTGCGGCCTGGTGCTCACCGACCTCCTGGGGCTGCTGGTCACCGGCGCCATCGTGGCGGCGCGCCACGCCGGCCTGCGCGACTGGCGCGCCGTGGACCCCGCCTGCCGCCTCTGCGCCTTCATGGGCGTCGGCATGGTGTTCTTCGGGCTGTGCCCGCTGCTGCTGGGCGCCGCCATGGCCTCCGAGCGCTTCCTGGGCATCACGCGGCCCTTCTCGCGGCCCGCGGCCGCCTCGCCGCGCCGCGCCTGGGCCAGCGTGGCGCTCGTGTGGGCGGCGGCGCTGGCGCTCGGGCTGCTGCCGCTGCTGGGCCTGGGCCGCTACACCGTGCAGTACCCGGGCTCCTGGTGCTTCCTGACGCTGGGCGCCGAGCCGGGCGACGTGGCCTTCGGGCTGCTCTTCGCGCTGCTGGGCAGCCTGTCCGTGGCGCTGTCGCTGGTGCTCAACACCGTGAGCGTGGCCACGCTCTGCCGCGTCTACCACGGCCGCGCCGCGGCCCGCCAGCGGCCACGGGACTGCGAGGTGGAGATGATGGCGCAGCTGCTGGGCATCATGGTGGTGGCCACCGTGTGCTGGACGCCGCTGCTGGTGAGGGGCGGGGCGGGGCGCGGGGCGGGGAGGGGAGGGGGAAAGTGGGGGCGGGGCGCCGAGTAGGGGCGTGGTGATGGGGCCGGGAGCGGGAGTGGGCGTGGTGCAGGTGTAGGGGCGTGGCATGGGGTTAGGGGCTCCTCGGTGGGCGTGGCTTGGCAAGGATAGGGCTCTGTGGTGGGCGGTGCATGCCTGGGGCGGGGTGCCGGGTGGGGCGGCTGGGCGGGACGTGCTGTGTTGGGGGCGGGGCTCCTAGTGGGCGGGGTTCCAGCATCGGGGCGGGGCCTGCTGGGGCGGGGCGCCGGTGTGAAGGTGTCGGTGCATGGCTGGGGCGGGACTCCTGGTGGGCGGTGCATGCCTGGGGCGGGGTGCCGGGTGGGGCGGCTGGGCGGGACGTGCTGTGTTGGGGGCGGAGCTCCTAGTGGGCGGGGCGCCAGCGTCAGGGCGGGGCCTGCTGAGGGCGGGGCGCCGGTGTGGAGGTGTCGGTGCATGGCTGGGGTGGGTCTCCTGGTGGGCGGGGCGCCGGCGTCGGGGCGGGGCCTGCTGGGGCGGGGCGGCGGCTCACGCAGTGCGCTCCCCCCACCCCGCCGCAGGTCTTCATCGCGCTGACGGTGCTGCGGGACCCGCCGGCCATGAGCCCCGCCGGGCAGCTGTCCCGCGCCTCCGAGCGGCAGCTGCTCATCTACCTCCGCGTGGCCACCTGGAACCAGATCCTGGACCCCTGGGTGTACATCCTGTTCCGCAGGGCCGTGCTGCGGCGCCTGCACCCCCGCCTCAGCGCGCGCGCCAGGGCCGTCTCCCTGCGGCCGCAGCCCCGCGCCGGCTCCGGGCAGCACTAGGGACACTCGCGTGGCTCTGAGCCGCGGGATCCGGACCCAGCCCCTGGGAGACCGCACCCCGGTCGCCGCTGTCTCGGAAATGAATTCGGACGGCCTGTGTCTTACCCAAATCCGCCTCCGCGCCTGGCTGCCTTTGTTTTTGATCTGAGGGTCGTCAGCCCGGGGGGGCCCCCCACCCCGAGCGCCCCCGCGTGGCAGGGTTGGGCCCGGGACTCGCCCCTCCCCCTGCCCCGCCGCTGCGTGTCCAGCACGACCCGTGGGCATCTTCTTGATGTCCCCGCGGCGAGAGAGAGACCAGGCGTCCGGCCTCCTGCGGCCCCTGGGGCAGCGCCGCGGGCCGGGCGGAGCGGGTGCACCCTGGCCTTGTGAGCGGGAGCCAGCTCTCTGTTTAGACTGGTTTATTTATCCGAAAGGCCGAGTTACAGAGGGGGGGGTCTGCCATCGCGGGGTCCTCCCCCACGGCTGCAACGGCCAGGGCTGGGCCAGGAGCCAGGAGCTCCATCCGGGGCTCCCGCTTGGGTGCAGGGGCCCCAGCACTCCGGACGTCACAGCTGTTCTCCCAGGCCATCAGCACGGAGCTGGGCCGGAAGTGGGGCAGCCGGGTCTCGAACCCGGGCTCGGGCGATGCGGGAGCCGCCGGTGGGGCCTCACCAGCCACGCCCCGCACCGGCCCTAGCTCCAGGGCCCATGAAACCCCACCCAGCTCCCACCACCGGCTTCTGGGGGCGCGCAGCCATCACAGCCTCGCTACTGGCCCCGGCTCCCCCAGCCCGGGGGAAGGGGCCGGCCGGGGACTGGGGGAGCCCAGGGGGTCTGCCCTGGAGGCAGGACCAGGACTGACAGGGGTGGGGGGTGGGGGGCACTTCGGGGGCCCCAGCTGAGGCTTGGGGGATAGGGCTGCCTTCCCGGGGCCCAGGGGAGACACTGGGGGGTCTGGCACGGGCCCAGCACTGGCCAGGGCCCCAGACGCCGGCTCACAGGGCGGAAGCCGAGGCCCCACGGTTTTGCCAGGGACTGGAGCCAGGGCTCTGGGGGTTGGGCCCAGGTCGGGGGTATCCAGGCCTAGAGTCTGTGGGCGGAGGCCAATGCCGGGCCTGAGCGGGGTCCCAGAACGGGCCTGCGTGAGGGGTCTCGGCTGGGGCCGGGAGCCAAGGGGGGCTCCAGGGCCCCGCGGGATTCTGGAACCGGCGCGGCGTGGGGCGGGGCTCCGGCGCCCAGAGCTGGGCAGGGCGCCGGAGCCCCGCAGGGCCCCAGCAGCCGGCTGTGCGGCGGAGCCTGGCCAGGTTCCGAAGTCGGTCTGGGTTCCAGAGCTGGAGCGCCTGGCAGAGCCGGGCCCCGCTGTGGGGGTGCCCGAGCGGGTGTGGACGCTGGAGAGGGGCCGGGCTGCTGCGCCGGGCTGGGCTCTGGAGCTGGACACGGCGTCAGAGCTGGACCGGTCACCTCGCCTAGACTGGGACCCCGCACGCACCTGGACGGCAGGGTGGGGCTGGGGCCGGGGGCCGGGCCGGGCAGCCGCGTGGGCTCCGGCCCCTGCGCTGGGCAGGGCGCGGGAGCTGCCTTGGGGCCCCGAGCCAGCTGGGCCGTGGCAGGGGGCGGGCTGCTCCAGCCTCGGCTGGGTTCCAACGCTGACCAGCGCTCCGGGGCGGGACGGCGGGTCCTGAGTCCCGGGGTCAGGCCCTGCTCGGCGGCAGGGGCTGCTCCCGGCACCGGGCTGGGCTCCGGAACCGGGGCCGGTCTCGGAGAGGGGCTCGGCTTCCACCCTTGTCTGGGTTCCCCTGCTTGGCTTGAGGTCAGGGCTGGGCTGGGCCCTGGAGCTGGGCGTGGCCTGGGCCCTGGAGCTGGGCGTGGCCTGGGCGCTGGAGCTGGACATGGTCTCGGCACTGGGCTGGGCCCTGGAGCTGGGCGTGGCCTCGGCGCTGGGCTGGGCCCTGGAGCTGGGCGTGGCCTGGGCGCTGGGCTGGGCCCTGGAGCTGGGCGTGGCCTGGGCCCTGGAGCTGGGCGTGGCCTCAGTGCTGGCCTGGGCCCTGGAGCTGGGCGTGGCCTCGGCGCTGGGCGTGGCCTGGGCCCTGGAGCTGGGCGTGGCCTCGGCGCTGGGCTGGGCCCTGGAGCTGGGCGTGGCCTGAGCGCTGGGCTGGGCCCTGGAGCTGGGCGTGGCCTGGGCGCTGGGCTGGGCCCTGGAGCTGGGCGTGGCCTCGGCGCTGGGCTGGGCTCTGGAGCTCAGCGTGGTCTTGGAGCTGGGTTGAGTTCTAGAGCAGGGGGTGGTCTCAGAGCTGGGCTGGGCCTGGGAGCCGGGTGTGGCCTGGGAGCTGGGCGTGGCCTGGGAGTCGGGCGTGGCCTGGGACCTGGGCTGGGCCTGGGAGTCAGGTGTGGCCTGGGAGCCGGGCGTGGCCGGGGAGTTGGGCATGGCCTGGGAGCTGGGCGTGGCCTGGGAGCCGGGTGTGGCCTGGGAGCTAGGCATGGCCAGGGCACCGGGCTGGGCTGCAGAGGGCGGCTCCATCTCAGAGTGGGCCTGGCCCCTGGCGCACAGCCTGGCTTGGGGCGGGGGCCGGGGCTCGGAGCTGGTCCGCACTGGAGAGGCGGGCTGGGGCGGGGGGCGGGGCTCCGGGCTGGGGCTGCGCTGGGCCCCGGGGCAGCCTAGCCGCAGGCCTCCTTGGCCTCGCCGATGGCGGCCCACACTTCCACCACAAACTCGTCCGGGAAAGCAAACTCGCCCAAGACGGAGTCTAAGCAGCGCGCGAACTCCCGGACGCTGGCGGTCGTCTTGGCCGCCTCCACCATGGTGGACGCTGTCGGGGGGGGGGCATGGTCCAGGCGCGCCCCGGGGCCCCGCCCCTCCCCGGCTGGCCTCCCCCCGGGAGCCCCCCAGCTTACCCTGTCCCCTTACCCAGCTCTGGGTCCCGAATGCCCATGTAGCTCTCCAGGAGGTCATCCACCTTCTGAGAGGCCTCTTCCTCAAACTGACTGGGCTGGGGGAGCAGGGGAGGCAAGCGCGCGGTGAGGAGCCCCCCAGCCCAGCTCCCTCCAGGCCCCCACCCCTAGGGAAGCGTGGGCGGGGCCTCCCGGAGTCGGGGCGCCCGGGGACTGGGACCCATTTTACAGGCCGGGCAGACCGAGCCTCGGGGAACACACGGGGCTCCGCCCAGACGCCCACACGCACCGCCTGCTCCAGGGTGGCGGCGCCGCCGGCGCGGAGCCGCAGGGTCTCCCTGCCGCTGGCCACCTGGGCGTCCCCAGGCCCCCTGCTGCCGCGGCTCCGCTGCCCGATCATGTCTGAGGAGAACAGGGCGGGGAGCGTGTGAGCCCTGCCGGGCCGCCTGGCCGGTGCAGAGACTCACCCTCCCAAGGCCTCCTCGTCCAGGGAGCAGCGCGAGGGGCTCGCTGTCCCGCCCCCGGGGCGCTAAGCCGGCCCAGGTCGGGCCATCTGACAGGGCAGTGTGGGCCCAGCATCTCCTGCGCCTCCCGGGACCCAGGCCAGGTCCTTCCCTCAGAGTGACGCTGCAGCCCACGCCTGGCCCCCGGGGGGCTGCCCACGCGGGAGACCCGGCCGGCCGGAGCTCCTGGCGTGGGTCTCGCGAGCACGTGGGGAGGGGACCAGCAGGTGAGGGTCTCTCTCGGATCACGGCTGCAGGATTTTTCTAGAAACGTCGTCAGCGTCGAGTTTGCCTGCCCGCAGCGGTCCCAGCCACGGCGAGGGCGGCCCCGCGCCCACGCTCCCCGCCTGTCCCCTGCACCAGGCACCTGCAGGGTTTCTGACCCACACGGAAAGTCCCCGAGAACACACGGAGAATGTTCTAGAAGGCAGCTCCCGCCTGACTCCCGTCCTCTGGCTTCGGCCAAGCCTGCTGCCGTCAACAGTGTGGGGGCGGGGCGGGGGCGGGGGCGGTGCCAGCAGAGACCAGAGGGGGAGGAGCTCCAGGCACGGAGTGTGCTGGGCCGGGGTCGCCCCGAGGATGACCGCCACCCACTGCCCCCAGCACCAGGACACTGGCGCCGGCTCCCTCTCTCCTTTGATTTTTTAAAAAATTTGATTGACTTCAGAGACCGACACACAGAGAGCTTGCATCCGCTCCCCAAGTGCCCACAGTGGTGGGGTGCGGCTGGGCTGGGCCCCAGTTCAGCGCGGGTGGGCGGCAGGGACCCCGTGAGCCAGGGCTGCCGCCCCCACCCCGCCCGCCCCGGGGTCTGCATCGGCGCTGGGAGCCGGGCCGGGAACGGAACCAGGCGCTCCGATACAGAATACGGGCATCTCAAGTGGCGCCGGCCCCTCCTCTTTGGAAAGCGCCATTCTAGAACTCTCTAGAACACCCCGGAACCTCCAGGTTCCCAGCCAGACACCGGCCCATCCTGCCCCCGGCGGAGCGCGTCGCCATGTGGTGGCGACACCTCTGGGTCCTGCGCCCGGAACCTCCCGCCGCCGCCCCCCTGCCCCGGAGCCCCCGGCCTCACCGAACGCCCGCTTGGGCTGCACCAGGCGCAGCGTGAAGGGCTGGGACTTGGGCAGCTCCCGCAGCATCCGGGCCACCTCGTAGTGCCGGCAGCCCACGATCGAGTGGTCGTTGATGGCCTCGATGCTGTCGCCCACGCACACGGCCTGGATCCTGTTGATGAGGCTGCCTTCCTTGATCCGCTGCGGGCAGCGAGAGTCAGCGGGGGCCGAGCGCCCCCCGCCCGGGGGCCCCCTGCCTGCAGCCCAGCCCCCGCCCGCCCGCCCGCCGCCCCGGCACCTTGATGAAGGCGTAGCCCGCCCCGTTGTCCGTGATGGTCAGCCCCAGCGCGTCCTCCGTCTTGGTGACCTCCACCTCCTTGGTCTCGCCGCGCACGTGGGCAAAGATGAAGTCCTCCAGGCCGATCTGGCCGCCCAGCAGCTTCTGCATGTCCACTTTGTGGCTGTTGAGTGTGCAGAACAGGATCTGCCCGCAGGGGACGGGAGCCCAGGCTCAGGCCCAGGGAGCCGCCACATCCCTCCCCCCACACAGGAGGAGACCCCTCTGCCAGCCCCTCCGCTCCCAGGTTTAACCCTTCCCTGCCCTGGGGGCGGGAGAGGATTTGCTGGCGCCCCCTAGAGGCGAAGCGCGCGAGGCCCGGGTGGGAAACCTCCCCGAGCCGCCCCTCGACCTCAGGCGCCTCCGCCGGTCCTGGCGGCGCGACCCGGAGACAGCCCCGGCCCCCAGCCGCGCCCAGCCAACCAAAGAGGGCCTCCCCCACCAGGGCTGGGGTCTGCTCCCGGCTGGGTCCGTGGAGCGGGTTCCGGGATCCCCTGGGCTAAGACCTGCTCCTTGCTGGCACAGGGGCTGCAACGTGGGGCTGGCGGGTCCCAGGAGCGCGCACCCCGGGGGACCTGCTTGGCCCCGAAAGCCGGAGACCAGCTCTCCCGCATCCAGGACGCCGGGACCCCGCATCTACCGTCCAGGATCCGGGCTCCACCCCTGCCCCCGGGGCGCTGGAGAGCGGGTGCCAGGGTCCTCACCTCGGTGGGCGCGATCCCAAAGGCCTCGGCGATCTTGGCGTAGAGCTCGCGGACGTTGGTGAAGCCCTCGATTTTGCCGGTGGGGCTGCCGTGCGCCAGCTGCGTGCGGAAGACGAGGCGCGGGCGGGCGCGGGGCGCGGCGGGGGGCTCGGGGGACGCGGGCGGGGGCGCGGGCGCGCGCGGGGGCTCGGTCCCCCGGGGCTCGCGGGCCGCGGGGCTCTCCATGGCCGGGGACGCTCGGCCACCCTCCGGGGCCTCCGTCGTCGCAGCCGCGGCCACTGCTGCCGGATCCGCGGCTTCCTGCGGCCTCCCCTCCCCCGGCGCAGGGCGCGACAGCCGAGCCGCCTTGGTAAGGGGATCCGGGAACCCGAGCCGCCCGGGCAAGGCGACACCGCAGGTGCGCAGAGGGCGCGGGCCCCAGGTGTGCGGGCCCTGCCAGAGCCAGCTGCGCCCTCCCTGGGGACGCCTGGCTGCCCGCGGGATGCGCAAACAAGGGGCCAGCAGGGAGAGGTGGGGGCGGGGGTCGCAGGAGGCCCGGCCCGGGGCCAGGTCCAAGGCCTCCCAAGGCCCTGTCCAAGCTGCCTCGGCTGCCTCTCTGCCTCCCCTGGGCCCTCTCTCCCCTTGGCAGCCACACTGGACAGTCCCTCTCATGTCCTGCCTCCCGGCCTTTGCACAGGCTGCGCCCCCTCTCCCCAGCGCCCCGGGGGATCCACAGCCTCCCTCTGCCCCAGCTCCACCGCTGTCCCTAGCATTCAAAGCCCCCTCTCGTGTGCTGGGCGCCCGGCTCGGCCCATCTTCCCGTGAGCGAGCGAAATGTCCGTGGGGAACGCAGTGCCGAAAACACCCCGGTGCTCGTGGGAGTTCCCGGACAGGCACCGGCGCGGTGGTGCGTGGACTGAGGGGCCGTCTGCGAGGCCGGCGTCCCGCGTCACAGGGCCAGTCTGAGTCCCGGCCGCTCCACTCCCGATCCAGCTCCCTGCTGTGGCCTGGGAGAGCAGTGGACGATGGCCCAGGTCCCTGGGCCCCTGCACCTGCGTGGGAGACCCGGATGGAGCTCCGGGCTCCTGGCTTCAGCCTGGCCCAGCCCCGGCCACTGCGGCCAACTGGAGAGTGACCCAGGGGATGGAAGATTGATTTATATCACTCTGCCTTTCAAATAAATACATGTTTTAAAAAATAATTCCGGGGCAGATTTTTAAAAATTCATTTATTTGAAATGCAGAGAGAGAGAGGTCTTCCATCTGCTGGTTCCCTCCCCAGATGCCCACAGCAGCTGGGGCTGGGCCAGGCCAGAGCCAGGAGCTCCATCCGGGGACCCAACAGGGGTGTGCGGACCCACGCATTGGGGCATCGCTGCTGCCTCCGAGTGCGCGCGAGCAGGAAGCGGGACCCAGGCCCTGGGCGCGGATCCAGGCGCCCCTCCTGCTCCGGACCTGAACTTTGGCTCCGCCCTGCGCACTGGCAAGGCCGGCCGGCTCCTCCCCCGGGGCGGACGCACAGGGCGGGGGGCTCGGCCGCC